CGACAAGAGCAACAACCCTGGTTTCCACTGCCCTCGGCAGCCACAACGCACACATCCTAAATGGCACGATGACGAACAAAGGAGGGGGGGGCGGTCTGAAGGGGAAGGCATGTTCCTTCATCGCCCAGTCCACACAGGGTGGGCTCCGGCGCCTCTCCCTTGTGGAAAGTGCAGCTTGCACCTGCTCAGAGGCGGTCTTGTTCAACGCAACACTGAAAACCGTTCTTGGGCGAATTACAAACTCCACCGAGGCACAGAAGGCTCTGGAAGGAATGAAGAGGTGGGCACTGCCGAGAGGGATCGGCTGAGGGGCGACTGCATCTTGGGGCAGTATTTTGGAAGAATGTTCCTTCTGTGCCGCCTGCGAGGAGCCGGCTGGGAAGGCTGGCTCAGGGCTTATGCGTACCGGCAAGCCAAATGCCCTCCCCAGCCTTCACACAGCGGGGGCCGCGCAGCCCTCCGCAATTGGGCCTGGAGCACCTAATGGCCCCCCTCCCCTCCCCTCCCCGCTCCCTTTCCGAGTGCAACGCAATGTTCCTAGCAGACTAATGGGGCAATTTTTTTGCATTATGTGTATTTGTCCAATTTGGCGGAGCGGCTCACGCCACTGAGAAAGCGGGGCCGGGGGGGCGGGAGTGGCGGCTCCTGCAGATTAGCTGATGGGAGTCTCCGGGGGGCCTTGCCACGATCCGTCTGCGAGAGGCAGCGCGGTGCATCTCTGCTTTGATACATTTGCACACGGCATCAGAGCAATTGTTTAATGCACCTGGGATGCCTCTGGCAGCACTTGATACGGATCTCACGTTGGGCGAGTGCCGTCGCGCTCTGTTTCACTGCTCCTGCCGCCGGAAGCCCCTTCCCCCAGCTGCGCTCCTGAACCGGGAGCAGCTGTCCGGAGCTGGCGACCTGCAGGGCCGAGAGCGAGCCAGGTGCTAGAGGGCCAGCACTGGCCGAGCAGAGCTGCAATCAGATTCTTGCTCCGCTGTGAAGCAGATCGTAGCCTCTCGGTCCCCTTTTCACACCCCGGCCTACCTCACAGGCTTATTGTGAAGGTAAGGCAGTGGAGGGGAGACCGCAGTTGTCATCCCAACCCTCCTTGGTGCTGGGCAGGAAGTGGGCAGGAGACAACAGGATGGCGTTCAATGTGGATAAGTGCAAGGTCTTGCACTTGGGGCATGGGAATAGCTGTCATAAGTACAGGTTAGGGGACAAGTGGCTGGAGAGCAGCACTTGTGAAAGGGACCTCGGGGTGCTGGTCGACTGCAGGCTAAACGTGAGCCAGCCATGTGATGCGGTGGCCAAGAGGGCGAATGCCACCCTTGGTTGCATAGCCAGAAGTGTGGCTTCTAGATTGAGAGAGGTGTTACTACCACTCTGTACGACTCTGGTGCGCCCGCAACTGGAGTATTGTGCTCAGTTTTGGGCCCCTCATTACGGGAGGGATATAGCCAGGTTGGAGTCAGTGCAGCGTAGGGCCACAAGGTTGGTGGCTGGTTTGCAGGGGAGGCCATATGAGGCGAGACTGAGGGAACTGGGTCTCTTCAGCCTGGAGAAGAGGAGACTCAGAGGGGATCTGTTGGCGCCATACAGGTATGTGAGGGGGTGTCGCACGGAGGTGGGCAGAGACCTGTTCTCCCCTGCAGAGGAAGGCAGGATGCGCTCCAACAGAGCGAAGCTCAGGGAGCCGAGGTTCCATTTGGATGCCAGGAAGCACTTCCTGGCAGTCTGGACCCCAAGGGTGTGGAATGGGCTTCCCCGGGAGGTGGTTGAGGCCCCATCAGTATGGGTGTTCAAGGATAGGCTGGACGTGCACATGGTGGGCATGTTGTGAGTAGAGCCGGCTGGAGCCAGGGGTCAGACTAGATGGCCTGGGAGACCCCTTCTGACTCGCTCTGTTTCTATGTTTCTATGTTTCTCTTGGAGGAAGGATGGCATAAAAATACCAGTAAAGCAATTCCGTGGGCCACAATTCCTAAAGAAGTGCGGTGGACTCCTCCTTTTTTAAGCTTCAGGTATTCTCTTTAGACTTTCTTTTCAGTATTTCACCTGACGGCATCTGCAAAATCCTTTGTCCTTCCCTTTCTGATTATGTTGTCATTTTACTCTGTGCTCGGTTTTATTGTGTTTTAATTGTGGTTGCTTTTTTAATTTCTGTTTTATGTGCGTTGCTTTCCTTTTGTTTAGGGGCTTGCTTTCCAGGCTGAACAGACATCTACTTTTTATAAAAACAGACTCCTGTTGCTAAGCACAAGGCAAGAAGGAGTCCTACGGAGAAGCTGTACGGGGAGTCGGACCTCGGCTCCATCTAAGCACTGCCTGATCCAGGGTGCTGCACCTCCTTCAGCCCATGGGCCAAGTTCCATTTCAGAAGCACTTTGGGGGGCTGCTTCCCAGCACTGAGGGACAATTGGTGGGGGGGAAGTTGAAAGTAGTAGGGCTTAAACGCCAGTACATTGCAGCTTAAACTTGCACAAATTACTGGCCGGTCACTGTTTTTGGAGACCCATCTTACAATTTAGAATCAGGCGGGGGATGATGCAGAAAAGCTGGGAAATCAGGCCTCGTTTGGTTACCTGACCTTTTGGGAGAGGGTCGGGCTCCATCCTCCAGCTTTGCCCCACCTGGCTCACTCCAGGTGCCTTGGACCACAGCCAGGTGGGACAAAGCTGCGTGTCTCAATCTCGCCTAGTTTAGGACGGGCTGCTCTATTGACATCGCACCTGCGCAAAGTCAAGCGGGGGAATCCATTAACGAGCCTGTTTTGACTGCAGGTGGCTCCAAAAGGTAACGATGCTAGATACGCCATGCGAGGTGCTCGGCACCAGGGTTGCAGAGCCTGGCGGGACTGCATTTGGGGGCAGGGGAGGCCCAGGGCTGGCCCCCACCAATGCCAAGGGGTCCCCATCCTTGCCGAGCTTGGCCCTTTCCTAAATCACAACCTCACCGACACTCTTGGCTCTATTTGGTCCCAGAGGCGGCAGTTTCCCTCCTGGGCACTGCGCAACGCTCCCTGTGGCCCAACCCAGCAATGGCGGTAATTTTGCCTTCAGCTGCCCGAGCCTTTGGGGGATCACGAAGGGAAAGGGTGGAAGGGGCTTCTCTCTTCCTTGGTTCACAGAGTGATCTCAGAAACGCTCTTGCCCAGAGGCTCTCGGTTCCTGGTGACCAAGCTGACTCCCACGGCGGCCTGGCTGAGTGCTCAGCTCCTCCCCACGCAGTCCTTGCCTGCCCTGCCATATCGCGTGCAGAGCGCCTCCCCCTGTACCCAAAACCCAGGGCATGGCCTGAAGGCGTGTGAGGCGGCCTGAAGGCTGAGGCTGAACCAGCCTGAGGCTGGTCCCTGCTGGAGGGGAGACCACCTGGGAGCTGCATATTAACTTCGGGTATTCATGAAATAAGTGCAGAAAGGAATATTCTATTGATCCAGCTGCTTTCAAAGCCCTCCGCCAGATGTGCTCCTTTGCCAGGCTTCAGATTCCAAAGGGAACTATCTGCAGTATCTGCAGGTCTCGCTCCCTGACCTCAGATGTGAGAGGGCACATGGTGATTTGCTGGACTGGAGCTCCCAGAATCCTCCAGTCCAGATGCGTTGGGCTGAAACTCCCAGAATCCCCCAGCCAGGCCAGCATGGGTGGAGGGGGGGACCTGTGAGCTGCGCCCCAGCACATTTGGCAGGGACCGGGCTGGAGAAGGCTGGCCCGGCTCTCCTCAGCCAGCCGGGCCTCCACGTGCCCACACCCCGGGCACCATTCCTTTCTCCTTCCTCGCCCTCCACAGCTCATTAGATCAAGCCTAAACCTCCCATCCCGCCTCTCAAAAACATTTATATTCATTTGTGCATTTCCAAAATAATCCAAGTAGCCCTTTGAACAAAATTGGGCCCTCAAGGCAGCTAATGACAACATAAAGCATATGCCGATAAGAAGGAAATCAAGCCATTATTTTAAAGACAAGACAAGAGAAGCCATCCCGGCTCTAATGGCAGCAGGAACACAGCAGATGTAACGAAAATGCCGCGATCAGCAGGAGCCGGGAGTCTGGAATTACTTCGTCATCCAAACCCAACCTCTCCGGGGCCTCTGCACCAGGGTGGGGACCCTCTTCCAGCCGGAAGGCAGAATTCAGCGTCGGAGCAGCTCGCAATGGAGCCTTTGCAGAGTTGGGTGGGCCAACGTCCCAAAGGCATCAGTGGATTTTCACTTACCGCTTTTAGTGCCTTGCCGAAGCCCTTAGGGGAGGCATTTCGACCTGGCAAAAGCCTGGGTTTCCTGCCAGGAAACTACCAAATGAGCCAAAATGGGGGGAAGGGGTGGAGCCAAGGAAAGGGGCGTGGCCATCCTGGGCCAGCGGGGGCAGGGCTGGATGGCCTGGGCATCTGGATGTGGCCTGCAGGCCTGAGGCTCGGGACTCCCACTTATGTCCCTCTGGGCGTAGCGCCTACGTGAGCCATGCCTCTGGAGGTCTTGAACTGGGGTGGGGGAGGCCCTGGGAGGACTTCGGAAGAGCCCTGTGGGATTCCACCAGGGCCTTTTTTAGACCAGCATTCCCTTTGCCCAGCAGCCAACCAACTCCCAGGCTGCACAGGAGCACACAACCCTCCCATGTTCCCCAGCAAGCTGTATACCGAAGCATATGTAGCCATCACTGCCTTCACTTCTCTGCATGGGTCTGATCCTTTTTTAATGCCATCCAAGTGGCTAGTCATCACCGTGTCTTGCACTACTGAAAGCCTACCTTCCCTGGCTTGGTCTGCCTAGAAACGGTTCCAGACCCTGAGACAGAACCTACATTGGCCCAACGTACTGGCCTTGTCCTGCCCCACAGCCAAATCCGCCCAGCACTTTCCCCTGGGTTCTGGTCCCACCCCACTGGGACCAGTATTGCCAGCAGGTGGTTTGGAGCTGCCCACCCTCCCGGTGCTGACAAGGCAGACACAAACCCCATGATGGGGCATGAAACTGCAGCCTTGGAAAGAGTAGCAGAGGAACGGCCAAACTCACCTGCACGAGCAACCAGGAGAAGACCACCGCCGCCCAGGGGTTCCCAGCGCGGGACGTCCGCTTTGCTGGGGCCAGAACTTTGCCTTTGGGAAGGGAACAGTGAAGAGAGAGAGAGAGAGAGAGAGAGAGAGAAACACAGCAGATGAGACGAGTCCTGGGACTGCGGGATGGCGCATTCCCCGTATTACATGCCTTTTCACACACAAACTTTTGTTTCTGCTCCGTTGGAGCTTTAATGAAATCCTTCAATCGACTGTGGCTGCTTTCTCCAAATGGGCATCCTCCGGATGAATTGGACCACCACTCGCACCATACTCAGCCAGCACGCCAAATCCTCTGGAGGTCACCAGGTTGGCGAAGGCTGATTGGGGGGTCATTTAATTAGCTGGGGGGAAGTAAATCCAAATGAGAACTGTTTGCAGCTTGGCTCCAGCGGCTTCAAGGGGCTCTTATCATACCCCCCCACCACCTGTGCACTATGATCTTCCAGGGGAACCTTTCTCCGAGTAGTGACACTTGGGGGTGTGCTTAGTACATGTCCTTTTTGGTGGTGGTACCCCAACTCTGGGGCAAGTTCCCCGAAAGTTTTCAGCTTATGCTCACTTCACAGTGCTTTTGATACTAAGTCATGGCATTTTTAGTCGACTGAAGATCCAGATTTTCCTGCTTCTATCTACATAAGAGTGTTATGGTTTTATAACCTCCCCCCACAACACCCCCCCCCCCCGTCGTATTGCTGTAACAGGAATGACGGGCTTGGCTGCATTGCCTTCTTTTATTGTGTTACTAGTGTTCCTGGAATCCATTACGATGAAGGGCAGGCTAGAAATTCTTAAAATGCCTGATTCCTCACTCTGCAGCATCTGATCTGCACCCTTGCAGCTTCATCAGCTCTGCCAGCAGCTGGGCTGCAACCACCCAGAGAATTCAATCTGTTTTCTATCTTGTTCCATACATTTAGTTCCTTTCTATACCACCCAGTCGCCAAAGTTCTCTATCGGACTGGCAAAGCTGTATGTTCATAAACAGTCACGACGCTGAAGAAAATCCCCAAACCCACTGATGGGCAATACTTTCGTAAGGAGAGCCAAGAACCTCTCAAACAAGGAGCAAAGGGACTCCCTAAACGTGGGTCGTGGCCCCAGTAAAACGGCTGAAAGGCAGAAGCAGGGTTGTGGCTCTCTGGTGGCACCGGGCCCATTTAATTCAGACGTGCGGAATGGGCTGCCAGAGCAGTGCTCTGTGAGAGCATGAGACGCATCTGAGGATACGGGAGAAATGTCTTCCTCTGCTTGTAACTCCTGTATTTTCCCACTGCTGCTTCTCTCTTTTAAGCCAGGAAAAAAGATCAGTTAAGGATGAAAATATTGAGCAGGGGAATTTTGATCGGCAGCGCTAAGGACCTCTCCGTCCGGCAACACGGAAAGGAGGGGGAATGGGGAACGGTGGGATGCGTACAGGAGCGAGATGAGAAGTGGCGGAGGGATAATTCGAAAGCAGCAACGGAGGCGAAATGAAAGGAGGTGCTGCTTCATCTGGCGAGTGGTGGAAAGCCACGCTCGCTACGACGACATGCTGCTGCCCTGCACATCGAGGGTCTCCGGCTCAGCCAGCAGCATCCCCAGAGGGTGTTGGGAAGACTCCTTCCTGAAAACCTGGAGAGCTGCTGCCAGCCCGTGCTGGCAATACTGGGCTGGTTGCGCTCAGGGGTCTGACTCAGCTATGGAAGGCAGCATCCTAGCATTGTGGCCCTTCACCCTCCCTGAAGAGCGTCATTTCTGAGCTTGGAAAGGTTTGCCAAGAAGAGGGGTCAAAGGGGCAGTGGGAAAGAGGTTTGCCCCATGGGCAGAAGAAACCCAAGCATGCCGGGCCCTGCAGTGCCTGGATGCCAGACACTGGGATCGTGACTGCAGGCCCCTGAGTGTCCAGAGATCATGAGCCAAGTGGCTGGAATGGGGGCGGGCGGGCGGGGGGGAGGAAGCACGTGTGTATTTGTACACATGAGTGCATATGAGTGAGAGAGCACTAGGTCAAAAGAGGTGTGGCCCCCAGCGGGTTGAAAGTGGCCCCCGGGGACTTCCAACTTGCCCACGCCTGCTCTGGTAGCTTCCAGAGGCCTGTGTGTCGGCTCAGGACCAGAGTTTTAGTGGCAGCCGCTGCCAAGCGAGGGCACAAGCAGTTCTCTGCTTCCTATGTAACGCCGGAGAGCCCAGGCAGCCCGCCAGGAAACAGAGGACTTGAAAGGACGGCCAAATGCTGGAGCAGAGAAGTCACTGAAGATGGGACAGACAGTGCCAAGCAGAACACGGGATGCGGGATACAGGCTCTGCATCAGACGTCCGACTGACTGCCTCAGAAAGGTCTCTCCTGAAATATCAGGGAATTGGGGTGGGAAGAGGGGTACCGTTAAGAGAGAGGAGGCAATTGTGTGGCACCCTGGACGGTGCCCATGGACAGAGATGGAGATGGTGGAGGAGTTCACTGACGTACAATCTTGGGCCTTGTGACGAGACTTGAGATCAAAAAGAAAGGGAGAGAATGGTCTGGCTGGGACAAGGATGGCGAATTCATTGCAGAGGCCAAACTCCGCATGCAAAAGCCCCGTTTCCACCCCTGGTCTCTCTGGCTTAAAAAGAGGGATCTGAGCTAGACTAACTGACCCTGAACATCAAATTCAGGCAGACAATTCTGATCCAGGTAGGCCAAGAGCCCAGCTCAGGGCAAGGCAGCTGCATGGATTCTGCAGGGCACGGAGGAAATGCCTCAAGATCTTACAGCAGCCCTGAAAAACCAAAATCCCACACAGAGGAAGGTGCACAGATTTAAAACGGTCACCTGAAAAAAGCAAAACTTTGTTTTGCTGAGAAGATTTTGAAGTGGCTGTTGAAGTCAGTATTACCAGGATGGATTTTATTATTATTATCCCAAGGAATTGCGTGGAGGTACAAGCATTTCCTTTCTCACATACTTTCCAATATTTCCCAGTTAATCACAATCCTTAAGCATTTATTCAGTGCTTCAGAGTATTCAAAGGGATTTTCAAATCCTTACAACACCCCTGTGGAGTAGGCCAGCATTAGTCCTTCTGCACTGCACATGGCTACAGCAAGCTTTACTAGGTTCCTGCTTCCAAGCTTCTCTTTGCACTCAAGAGGACTAGAAACCTGCCTTTTTTTTTTTTTTTTTAACTAAGCTGCAAACTCGGCATTTTGGGTCCAGTCCCTGATGCTGCACTTTCACACTCAACTCACGGTTGGGTAGAATGATTACAACTTGGGCCACAGGCCACATTTGGTGGAAAGCCGGCCACTGCCCTCTGATGCACAGGGGTGGCGCTACCGCCCCCGCCCGTCACAGTACTAGATCTGCCTTCAGGCTCCCACAGCTAATTGCCCCTGGAGCCCACGGCAGGGGTGGAAGGAGCTAGCACAGGCCGCCGAGGGCCACTCACCGAAAAGGTCATCCTTGGCCAAGGCGTAGAGGATCCGGGAGGCCCCAATCAGGTTGCTCATGGCGGCCGAGAGAGTGGAGAAGTAGACGCCGATGATGACGAAGGGGGGCCAGAGGTTGATGTCCCTCAGGAAGCTGTAGTCCCGCTGGAGGAGGAGTCTGCGAAAAGAGAGAGGCCGTGGGGACTGCAATCCTGCTGGAGGGAGGCCGGGAATTCTTAAAGGGGGGGTGGAGGGGGCTCCCGATGCTACCAAGCAGAATGCATTTTGCTCCTTAATGGATTCTCCACAGTCAGAGGAAAGGCAGAAGCGGCAGGGTGGGGGAAGCACAGGAGAATTATGAACGGAAGACAACATCTGGGCAACCCCTGTGAAAAATTCCCTGCACATGGGGCAGGGTAATGGGGTCGTCTGAAAGTGTGCCCGTGGTTCACGAGCATTCTGGGGGTGGGGGGAAGGCTGGCCCAGAAGAAGTGACCCTTCCCAAGGGGGTCCCTGCCACAGCCGGCGGCTGGAAAGAACCAAGCATCCCGCAGCACCTTCGAAACCAAAACACTGTATTAAAGCACTGGCTTCTGTGGGCCTGATCCTGCTTCAGCAACGGCATGAAATAGTATACGAAGTTCAGCAGGCATCCCGGGACAGCGCAGCAGAGCAGCCAGGACGAAGAGAAGGCCTGGCCCAAGCAGAGGCGTTAGGAACCCAAATTCAACAGGCCACTTCCCTGCCACCTGCTCTGGATTCGGTCGCCCACCGAAGTGCATCGCTCAGCAGCTCTCGCAGCCTGCCAAAAGGCCACGCAAGGACCCTGCCACAAATGGTGCCGCGTGACCCGTCCGGCTCCCCTCCTTTCCCTGCCCCACTCCATTTTTTAAACGGGAGACCCCACAGGCAGGAGCTTTCGCATGCAAGGCACGCGCTCTGCCACTGAACCGTGGGCTTGGACACCAAGTGCGGGCGCTGCCAGGGCACTGGCCCCACGCAGGCTCCCGGGCTTCCCCCAGGCTGTGGGGCAGCAGCTTCTTGGAACTAAGCCTTTTGCTCCCCAGCCCTGCCAAGAAGCACCTTGGGTCCTGAGCACTGTTCCAGCAGGAGGACCTGCTCCCCGTCTGCCCACACACCTCGGGCTCAGACCCTTGGCGTCTCGGTGATCCTTTACACCTTCAAACATTCCCCAGAGCCACTGAGGGGGGGAAATATCCTTGCTGTTACTACATTGCATTTATACCCTGCTTTTTCCCCTCTTGCGAGGAACCAAAGCTATTTACAAGGTTGGCACCACGCAACTTGATGTCATACAGCTTGTGGAGAGCCGGGGGGGGGGGGGTCACCCAGCCAACAGGTCCCAGGGGAGTTTGGGGGGCGAGTACAGTGACTCACCAGAAGGATGGAGTGGGAAAGTGGTCTTCAGCGCCCCTCCCCACTCCCTCTCCAAAATTCCCACCTTCCCTTTTTTGGCAGATTAGTTGAGCTCAGAATCTTTCCAGAGGATGGCTGAAAGGCCGACACCTAGAGAAGCATCAAATGGGAGGATGCGCTTGATACATTAATGTCTGTCTGTCTGTCTGTCTGGACGTAACACCAGCCCTGCAGGGCTGACTCGCAAGAACCAAGAAGCCCGGCCACCAACACCAAACGCAAGAGGTCCCCAAGTCCCCACGTGCCTGCAGGCCGCCTGGGCACAGGGCCCGGAGGCAGCCTCCCCTACAGATGCACCAATGCCATGGCGGAAATTAGCTGTGCAGGTCTGTCCTGCTCGCCAAAGTCGGTGAAAGGGCCCCGGATGCCCAGACGGAGATTTCTCCACCCCTCCGCCAACGCGCAACGTCCATGATCCCCGGGGAGAAGGGCCAAGGCAAAGCACTCTGTCTGAAACTGACGCAACCTTCACACATTCAATAGGTGCTTATTCTTATCCTCCTGAAAGGGTCTGTGGAACAGGAACAGCAAACCCACTGGCCTTCAACAGATGGCTGGCAGCTTGTGCCGACTGAGAAAGGAGGAGGGCGAGCTCCAACAGGGCTGCCACCTTTTTTAATTCAGCCCTGCTCCTCTGCCCTCAGCTGCAGCTTGACCTACGGAAATCAGAGGCAACCGTGCGCTCTTTTCATGCTGCCCGAAAAGCCTTGCCAGCCAGTTCTGGCCAATCCAGCCGGTTTCAGAGGCCAGAATGGCGGGCTTGGCGCGTCTGCACGCGGATCTGCAACCCCGCATGCCTGGCAAGTCCTCCAGGCTGGGCAGGGGCGCCCGCTGCCTCCTCTGAGGAGCTGTGGTTCGCTCGGGCAGCCTCCGAGGCTGCTCAGACCGCGGCAGGATGCGTGCTGAGTGAGCCATTGATCGGTCTGGAGTCACTTGCCCAGTTTGGAGGCAGCGGCTGATGAAGGCCCCGGTGCAGGGAGGGAGGAGGGGGAGCCAACTGGCCAAAATTCAATAACGGAAATAAAAGGAGAGGGGATGAGGAACTCTCGCTCACACATTAAACGATACAAATGGCCGGGCCTTAATTGGATTTTAACAAGAGGCAGCAACCAGTGGGACATAAATTAGCACGGGCGATCAACGCCAGAGTCTTTGGGCAATTAATAGCTAATTATCCCCCCGCCCCCAAATTGATCACCTTGCTAATAGGTACAGCAGAACGGAGGGGTGGGCACAGGTCCAGTATGGGGGGCAGCTCCCACTGACTTCTCCCAGCCGGTGGGCTGCGTGGGTCCGAGCCAGCACCACAGGGTGCATGCCAAGCTGGCCCCCCTTCACAGCTGGATGCAGTTTTGGGAGCACATCTGTCCTGCAGGGGGGACTGTTGGCACATTTCAGCCCCGCTGGGATGGAAAGCCCAGGATGGCGGGGAGAAGCGGCACGGCTGCCTTCCAAAGAGGCAGCCTCCAAGTTCCTTGCATCGATACCAGAAGCCAACGTCCATCAGGTGAGGCAGCTCCACCTGGCTGCATCCCTCCAACCGCCCCTTTCAACCAGAGCTGTCAGGATTCGAACCTGAGACCTTCTGCACACAGAACAGGCGCTGTTCCACCGAGCTGCTTCCCAAGGGCCTAAGCTCCGAGCTTCGCTGCACAGCCGTCTCCGGCCAGCAGCAGGCACACTTCCATTCCACGCAGCAGCTCCCCCGCCCGGAAAACTGGGCCCAGCGTCATGGGGGGAGCTGTGGGGCTGCTGCTGAGGACCCCCACCCCAGGAGATCCCCACCCTTGCTGCTGCTCCTGCCCACTCACCGACCCCTCTCTCTGGCACAGGCCACAGCAGCTCCCGCCTCCCAAGCCAGCCAGCGGTAGCCATGGTGAGCAAGAGGATGCTGAGCGAGCGAGCGAGCAGCAGATCCACGGAGGAAGAGGGTGCGCCATCCAAGGACCGCGCAAAGCCAGCCCTGGCGCTGTGCACAATCCAGCCCCTGCTTCTGCGCAGCTCTTGGGCCTGCCCAACAGCTTGGACGGAGGCAGCACCAAAGGGGGAGGCCAGACGGAGATGTCCTGGAGGGCTGCAGTCCACCTCCCAGCAGGCCAGGGGGTCCCCACCCCGCTTCAGAAGGAGCTTCTCAGAGCCACAAACGCCCCTTCCACCTGGCTCACGGGGAAAGACCCACATTTCTGAATCAAGCGCTTCAAGACATCCCTGGACTTCAGAAAGAAAGCTCAGCCGCGGCACACATCCGTGTCTGGTAGACTGCCTCTATACAGGGAGGTCTTGTTAAGCTATTGTGGCTGAAACCTGTCCTTAAAACTTTACAGGAGAGGAGGGCGCTGCTTCGGTCGCCACAGTGAGGGGAACGGTCGGAAAGCACACGGCTCACATCTGCAGCACTGGACTTGCCCGAAACTGCCTGATAGGAATGAATCTGTAGGGAAGCTGGTTTGAGGCTATTGGAGTGCTGGGGGGGGGGGGGTATTTGAGTTTAATAACACTCCAGCACCTCCAGGGGCTCCTCTCCTCCCACCCCCTCCTGCCCAAGCTGTCCAGGGGGCTTCCTACGTATCTCCACTCTTAACACAGTCGGACCAATTAAACACCACCAGTTGGTAAGAAAAACAATGCCTTATCATATTCATATTACTGTTACTTCTGCAGCTGTTTAAGGATTCAAAGAACCCCAGGAAAAGCAGGCAAGGATTTGTAGCAGTAAGATGCAGACGGGGCAGGGGAAGGGGAGACAAAGCTCGGCCGATGGGCGGAGGCCGGATTTTAACTAGCAGCTCCCTGGTTCACACCAGGCAGCCCCTCCACGGTTGCAACATAGGGACTATATCTATATCTATCTATCTATCTATCTATCTATCTATCTATCTATCTATCTGGACCATCCTGGATGGGGGGGGGTCCTGTGTATGGGGGGTGTGCAAAGCAATTGCCTGCTTCGACTCATCTCCCCTCCCTGGCCCTTCGCCCCGCTGCTGCTCCGTTTTCCAGGCTGCTCCCCCATCCCTCTAACTGGGCTCAGCAGATAACACCCCCCCCCTCCAGATCCCACCCCCAGATACCGGCAACAAGCAGGGCAGGGCACACGGTGCTGAGCAACAAGACGGAGCAGCGCACCCCACGTCTGCCTCCCCCAGCGTCTTTCCAATCAGCTCCTGCTGACCCGACGCTGGAGCCGCGGAGGGGAACGGGTCGGGACACATGCGGCCGAGCGGCCCGCGTGGCGTTTCAGGGTGAAGCAGGGATGAGTGGCGGGGGGCTGGGGCAGCTGCGTGTCAGGCATCGGGCGCGCAGGCTGCCCTGTCCCCTGTCATTATGAGCAATGGCCGTGCATTAAGGTATTAGAAGATGACAGCTATAATTCTAACCAGTTCTTGCCGGCTGCCCCGGCCCCGCGCGATTTATGGCAGCACTTTCCAGAGCAGAAAATTAACAAGCCGTGCTCTCCGAGAACAAGGCGGGGGCTCGTGCGTGCACACCGAGATGCACGTCAGCTTTCTCCAACCCTCGATTCCGGAAGGCCCCTGGGGCAGGAGGATGGGGTGAACGCGACCGTGCCGTTCCTCCCCCCACGCCCCCAGGGGCGTCCCTGTCTGCGACAGAGCATTTCCGGACAGGGCAAGGCATACGTCGGTTGCCGGGGCGCATGGGTGGAGGGCGCCGTTACGTTCAGGCCAGGCTCGCGGGATCCTGTGGGCAACTGGTTGGCCGTGGACTGGATGAACTGCTGGTCTGACCTGGGGAAGCTGGGCAGGAGAGGCTTGGGCACGATCCGGCACATGACTCTCCCCATGTTCGAATCTCTGGGAGCACGGGGGAGCCTTGCCTATCTGCCCACGCTAGCCAACCACCCAAACTGCTTCAGGCTGCCCAAACACCACAGTGATGCAAAATATACCATTGTGCGGAGGGGTGTGGTGGAAGAGTCTAAGAAAATATTCATTTTTGTACAGATTTCTCCTTTCAAAGAGTCTTGGGGAAGTTCTTGTGCCAGCTGTGTTCGGTGGATTGATAAATGGGGCTTTTACTTTCTGGAGTAGCCCTGAAAGCCAAATGCTCAGGACAAGCAATAAGAAAGCAGGTCCTTGCTTGACTGGGGGAGGCGGTCCCAGGGACCTTTGGTACTCCCCAGTTGGAAAGGGGGTGCTGGGCTAGAAGGGCCCTCAGTCTGATTCAGCAGGTCTTCCCTTCAAGGGCTCGAGCTGGGAAAAGATACCTCCAGAAGGAGACTCGGATCCTGTGCAAGGAAGGAAGGGAGAGGAAAGATGAGGTCTGCAAGGACCCAGGTGGAAAAAAGAGCGCATTTCTGCACCCAGATGATGGGCTTTCAGCATAACAGCAAGATGTAAAAGTTATAAGGATAATAATGAGAGCAATAACATTATTATGATGCTAACAATAATATTTGTTACCACTGAACCACGGCAGAGCAGACCGGCAGCTGAATTGCCTGCAGCGGAATGGTGAATTCGGAGCATTCACCGGCTTGGTCATCAGGCAACAGGCAGATGACCTGAAGGGGACTGGGAAGCATCCCTGGATGTGGCCGCTCGCTCTCTAGCACCAGTTGCCCCAATTCCTGGGCACGTCAGTTCTGATCTGAGGCTCCTGAAAGCACCCGTGACTCAGACCACCTGCTTCGCAAACTTCTTGGAACTGGTTGCAGGGGCATGTCCAGGAAATCTTTGCAGCGCTTAACCATGTCATGCCGGGAACTGGGGCACATTTTGCTTCTGCGAAGGCTGCCTGAAGCGGCAGGAAAAGGAAAGGGGGGCTCGAGTCCTCGAGGGCATTGTCACCCCCTCCAGACCTGCACCCACAGGCACACACTTCCTTTTGAATCTGCAACTGGGCTGTGAAATATCAAACACAAACAAGAAACTGGGAGGTGATGGGGCAGAAAGGCCAGAGTGATTATTCCTGAGCAACGCTGTCCATCATCCAGAGACTCGGGGGAAAGCAAGGGGCACAGAATCAGCTTCCATGTGCAGAGATCAAATGTGCATGGAGTGAGAGCTGGAAGGAAGCTGGAGGCCTGGCAGGGGAGCCTGCTGTCGTGGGGGCACGCGCCATGTACCTGGCAGCCCCGTCCACCCCCATCGGCAAGCAGGATGCAACAGACCCTGGGAAGTGGAGAACTAGCTTGAGCAGCAAGCCCCGAGTTCGAATTCCGCTCAGCCCCGGTACCTATTGGGTGGCCTCGCACAATCTGCAGTCTTTCTCCCACGCTGACCTGGACACGTGACGCAAAGACAGCAGCGCTTCCAGTCGGGTGTGATTTGGATGATCTACTGGTGTTAAGCTCCCTCTGGAAACTCAGAGGTCAAGGAACCAGCTGCCATAGGACTCCATGCTTGCACCCAAATGTCTGAGTCTCCGGCTATGGCGAGAGCTCCTCCGTACGACTGAAGCCGGCAAGCACATCAGGCCTCGCAGGACCTCCCAGGCTGCTGGCCGTGAACGGATCCTGCCACTGCCGCTTGCCCACGGCACCGTGATCTGTGCAGGACTGCCTCTGGAGGCCCGCCGGAAACGGCAACCGACTGGAAACGCCGCACCAGCCTTTCTCGTGTGAGGATTCGGGACACAGGCTTCAGGCTGGCTGCCGTCCTTTCGTTCTCATGCATCAGCTGCATAGTTGGGCCCAAGAGCCATTCCAAGGGCCGATTCTGACCGTCTGAAAAGCCAGTGTACTGCGGCAGTGAGAGTGCTGGACCTGGGAAATGACTGGCCCCGCTCAGCCACCAAGCTCACCGAGTGGCTTTGGGCAGTTACAGGCGCTTAGCCTATCCTACCTCACAGGGTTGTGGTGAGGATACAAGGGAGCTCTGTGAGCCGGCTTGGGCTCCTTATAAGAGAAAGGTGGCATATAAATGCAACATGATGGATGACGATCATGATCGGCCTCCCAGTGAATTGCTATGAACCATCAAGAGAGATCTGACTACTGGGTGTTAGAACCACAACAGCCAACAACAACAACAGCTCTAGATATCGAGGGCGTATCAAGAAGTTCTAGCATGTTAACTCGGTTTCTCAGTTCTTAAAATGGGAATACTTGCAAATGTATTTCAACAGGGTTATTAGGATAAGGATTAAACGAGGACATTTGGGTGTGGCATAGTGGTTAGAGCTCTGGAATGGGATCCAGGGAATCTGGGTTCAAGTCCTCACCGAGACAAAGCGCACTGAGATGAACCTACCTCACAAGGATCTTGTGAGACAAGATGGAGAGGAGGAGGAGGATTATGTAAGTTGCCTTGAGTTGCTTGAAGGCAAAAAAAGGCAGGATAAGACGATTCTAAATAAATAAATAGTGCTGTCTGTCCTGAACCACTTCAATACAGGACAAGCCGCAGAAATCTTTACCTTTGAGAGAGAGAGAGTGAGAGAGACAGACAGACAGACAGCAATAAAAGAGCTGTGACAGAGGAGCTCCCCCTGGTGGTCTGTTGCAGCTGCAACGCACATACCTGTCACAGGTGCAACTCAGGAGCAGAGCCAGCAAGTTGTACACAATGTAGGTGAAGATCACAGCAGTGATGGTGCCCCGGGGGATGGAATAACTGGGCCGCTTCAGGTCCCCTGAGGAGGAGGAGGAGGAGGAAGGAAGCACAATCAGAGACGCCCAAGTCCCGAAGGAAACTTCATTGTGAATTGTCCTCAGACATCCGCCTTTCCAGCTCCCCACCGGGAAATCGGTGCTCACCGGACATGTTGGAGCCCGCCATGATCCCCGTGCAGCCGTTGAACATGACGGCAAAGACGGTGCTGAAGCTCATCAGGCGTCCGGTCGTGTAGTCCACCGTGTAGGCAGCTGCAGGGAGAGGGTTCGCAGGCAGCACGCCGAGTTAAACACACTTTTCTCGCTCCGGCGACGCGCACCCAAAGAACGATGCCTGGCCAAGCACTGCTGGAGCCCTGCGGGCCGGGGACCCCCCACGGGAGGGCATTTCCACGGGGGCAGATTGTCACCACAGAGCACTGCATGGGGGGGGGGAGCGGCACCCACAAAAATTCCCGTCCTGCGCAGTCCACGGCACAGGGAGCCCTGCCAGCTTCCTCCAGAGACTTGATATTGGTCTATTGATTCGAGCAGCCCTTATGTTTCTGAAGGACAGCGGGGGGCTGAGGTCCCCTTGGGAAGGCAGTTAAGTTGCAGAGGGGCCGGGAGGGCCGTCCTGCTCTCAGAAGGCTGCAGGGCAAGGGGATGGGTAGATGGCCTAAAACTGGGCAGGTCAGAGGACGGGACTTGAGGATTTCATTGGGGCGCTTCTACCTTCCCTCCTGCACACCCTTGCTCCGTAGTTCAAGTACTACTAGAGCTTACAAGACCCGGGCTCAAATGCTGCTTGAGGCCCTCTGTGTATGGCCTTGGGATCCTCACCATGTCTCTGCCCCAGAGGAGTGCAAAACCTAGACCTGCCAGGGCTTGGGATCTCAGCTCCTAGCATTCCCGAGCATGGCCCACGGCTGCAGGGGCTTCTGGGAGCTGAAGCCCAAGCCGTCTGGAGATTTATCTTCCGCTCAGCCCTGGCCTAGCTGATGTCATGTGGTTGCTGCAGGAATAAAACGAGGAGAGGGGCTCAGCTGCACACACCAGCCCAAGCTCCTTGGAGGAAAAGTAAGAAGCAAAGATGGCGGAGAGGGACCTTCAGGCACTTCTGAAAACACGCCGACCCACAAAGCCGGAACTTCCCACCACGGTGCCCCCTCCCGCGCCCTCGTATGCTGCATACGCCAAACTTGCGGACGGGGTGAGATGGGGGGGGGGGCAGAGGGCAGCAGGACTCACCCGGGAGGTTGTCCAGGAGGGTGCTGAGCTTGAAGCCGGTGAAGTTGGCGCTGGCGGGGGCCGTGCTGTTGCCGAAGCCACTCGGAGGGAGCTGCACCTGCTGCGGGTGCACCACGAAGAAGCTGAGGCACACGGTGCCCAGCACCACCATGACGATGACGAAGATGAGGAAGCTGGCCTTGGCGTAGATGCCGGCGCCCACCAGGCAGACGAAGAGGCAGAGCAGCAGCAGCGCCGTGCCGTACAGGAGGTCGAACCAGTAGCCGCGGGGCAGCACCTGGATGGCGGTGCCGGGGCCGCCCTCTGCCGGGATGGCCGGAAGCAGCGTTAGATGATGCGTGGACACCTGCCTGAGTGCTCCCCCCCCCCCGCTCAGAACAGAGGTGCTGAACCTCGATCCACCCGCGGGCCGCGTTCGCCCTCGGGGGCCACGTGCCGGTGGTGGGCGGGGCAAAAGGTGGAGGGGTGGGGCTAAAGGCAAGGAAAAGCGAGGCCTGGAGGCCAGCAGGTTCTGGCTTCAGCCTCCAGCTGCCAGAAAAGGCGCTGCAGCCTTTTGAAACGGGGAAAAAGCCATGTGAAAGCCAAGAAAGTGCCAGTTAGGGAAAAGACCGTGGGACAGGCAGACGGGGCCCTCCGTCGATCCCCCGAGGGCAAGTCTGGCTCCCAGGCTGCGGTTCAACAGCCCTGGTCTTGGGAACAGAGGGATCCCCTGGAATGCCACCCTTGCTTCCGTTGGCGCAATGTCCACGAGGGCGCAGGTGGCGCTGAACTCAAGCCCGTGGCACCAATCCCCAGCCCTTCTGTGTTGCCCTCCCCTGTTGCAGAGCCCGCTCCTCTCCCCCTGGTCTTAGGCAAAGCCACACAAAGCTCCCCAAGGTGGCGGAGAACCCCTGGGCAAGACGGCAGGGCTGGCCCACGTGGTACTCACCTCCCGGGACTCCAAAGTCATCCACAACCGCCTCCACCAGCCCCAGGATATAGAGGGCACTGGCACAAACATTGGCCAAGAAGAACATGATCCCGATACTCCCGCCGAACTCGGGGCCCAGGGCCCGGCTGATCATATCTGCGCCCAGCAGTCAAGGAGCAGGAAACGGAAGCGTGGCCAGGGAGCATTGCGAGCCAGCGGGGTTACGTCCCAGTGGACCTGGGGGCGGGGGAGACGTCCCACTTCCCCTGCACCAAGTGGGTAAAAGAAGGAACAGAGCAGTGCAGTCAACCTGATTAAGAGAAGACAAGGTGCGCATTTATTCCAGTGCTTCTGGGAGTGGGGTCAGAGGCATGTTGATTTATTCCGGGCTGGGGGTTGTTGGATGCAGAATACAGTCGAGAGAGACCTTCGGTCTGACCCAGCCGGCTCGTCTTTGTTTGCGTGAGAAGGATACAGTAAGCGCCGCCAGCATCCAGGGCCCCATTGGTGGAAATCGCGCACACGGACAGGACTGTCATGCCGATGATGAAGTAGGCCACGAGGAACATGCCCAGAGACTGGTACAGCCCGGCCTGGCCCACCACAAAACCTGTCAGCAACAAGAAGGAGAAAGCACGGTGGAGGGTTTTCAGAAGCCCGACTTCGCGTGTCTTCTTCCAGGGCTCCTCTTGGCTACATGGGCCCCTCATAAAGATGGTGGGGCTCAGCCCTGCCATTAGAAGGGGCAGGTGGTGGTCGGGGGCAGCTTCTTAGCCACGAGGCGCAACCTCAGAAGGTCTGGTTTGGGTTCCCCATCACGGGGCCTTCTCTGTTCTGTACTGGCTCTGTAAAAATTCCCTCCACAAAGTCATTTGCTCAAAATTATTCCTATTCTTTTTGGGCGTCGAATGAGAACTCTTTTTGTGTGCTCAGGTTTTGTAGTTTGCCTGCTATTTTCCTTCTATGCACGATTTTTACATCGGCGGCTGTGCCATTTATTGTTTGCATAGCTTTTATTGTATTTTTATGGTTTTATCAGGAAGGCACTTGGCAGACAGACGGAAGAAGGGCTAACAATTTTAAAATACCATTATTAAAATAAAAACAATAATCGATGAGATTACAATAATAAAATAATGCTCTAATGAAGCAGCAGAGCAGCTAGTAGGAAAAGGACAAAAGGTAAAAAGTGGAATCAATTACAGAATTTATGGGGTGTGCAACCCTAAGTACCTCTGATTGGAAAAAAAAAAGCATGGCTGAGCTGAGAAAAGAACAGAAAAGGGCAAATGAATGATGGGGAAGAACAGCTGCCCCAACCAAGTCTCATCCAGATGTTTCTGACTGCAACTTCTAGGACTTATGACAGTCAACCATGCTGGCTGGTGCTGATGGGAGTCGAAATCCAAAGCTTTGGAGGGCTCAAAGTTGACAAGCATCTCACCAATAAACACAGCAGAAATTTGGAGCCTGGAGATGTCTCAGGTAAGCCAGGATGCCACCACACCCCCTTCCCATTCTAGGATGTCCAGACAGGTGAAGAGAACACTAGGTGCATCCCCTCTGTGCAAGATGGAAACAACCTCCTGGTTGTTTCTTCCTTTACAGTCTCCGCTTCCTGAAAGAGGTCTCCCTTACAGAGGGTTGGGAACCTCTTTCAGGCCAAGCCTGAATCCTGTTTTGCAGTGGGGAGGGGAAGGCATTCTGCTGGTGGGTGGGGCCAGAGGCAAAAAGGGGTTGGGCCAAAATACCCCCCCCCCGCATAATTACTGCTAGTAAGTAAGCCTTAAAGGTAAAGGTTTCCCATTGACGTTAAGTCCAGTCATGCCTGACTCTAGGGGGCGGTGCTCATTTCTGTTTCCTAGCCAAGGGAGCCAGCGTTTGTCCGCAGATGGTCTCCGTGGTCATGTGGCCGGCATGACTAAATACCAAAGTGCACGGAACGCTGTTACCTGCCCACCAAAGTGGTACCTGTTCATCTACTTGCATTTGCAGGCTTCCGAGCTGCAAGGTTGGCAGGAGCTGGGACGGAGCAACAGGAACTCACCCCGTTGTGCAGATTCGAACTGGTGACCTTTCGACCAACCAGCCCAGCAGCTCAGCGGTTTAAACCACTGCGCCATCTGGATCCCTAAGAAAGTCTTAGGAGAGGCAAATAAACCATTCAGAAACATGCACAGAACGGAAAAGGCTTTGGAGCCACAGGGGAGATACAGCCTTCTGCAGGACCCAACGGGCCAGTTTGGGATGCTGAGGGGGCCAGGGTGCTCAGAGATTCATTCTGGGTGTTTGGGCTTCTGGAAAATGCTTTGGTCAATAAAGAACGTTTTGCAAGAAAGGTCTGTGGCTTTGAATGAGCAAAGGGAAGAAACCCTGATCACAACACCCAGTGAACTCCAAGGCTGAGTGAGAATTAGAACCCGGATCTTCCGAGGGCCAGTCCAACACTCGCCCAACATGACATACGTGAAGTTCCTAACAATCCCGAAAGCCAGGCAGTGAATGACTGGCACGAGGTATATTTAAAGGATGTATTCAGTAGCTGTGAGCAGAGTAGGAGAGAAACAATGATAAACCAGCGATAGGGAGATTGCAAAGAGGGAGAAATTACTCTGAAATAAACGTTGGGAGTATAATGGTGAATGCAGACAAGCAGCTGAGGCAGGCCAAAGTTAAGCAAGCATTTCCTCCAATTAGTGAATCATTAACCGATGAAATCCACTATATTAGGGTGTTGCAATGGCTTATCCACCAAGAAAGAGGTTCCAAGAACAGGTTGGCTCCTAGACAAGACTGTCAGCCTCCATTAGGTTCATGCCACAAGTGAACCCCTATTCATTTATAAGGAATAATTTTATGCATTCACGGCACTTAATGGCATACAAGAGGTCAGTTCCCTGCCCGAAGGAGCTTGCAATCTAAAATTGGACGTAGGGGTAGAGTCAAAAGGAGAGCATAAGAGTGTTGCTTTTTGCTTCACTGGGGCCTGTTCTTGTGATCACAGCGAGGGAAACAAACCACAGAGATGCTTTTCCTCTGCTGCCTGCATGGGTCGCACACCGGATGGATTTCCCGAATTGCATGGGCATAGTCTGTGGGTTATTTTGGAGCGGGAGTGGCAGCAACCTCCAACGGCCCAATGAGAGGCCACAGGTCGTCCCTCAAATAAGCCAAGCTGCACGAGTTCAGACAACACAGCAAGCCAGGCTTAGCAAGCCACCGAGGTTGTTAATTGTGGCGTTTCTGCAAGCGGATCGCAGGCTCCTCTTTTCTGCGAGCGGATCGCAGGCTCCTCTTAGCAGGGGGCATTCTTTTCTCCTCCCCCCTCCTAGCAATGCCTCTCTTCTCTAAATTCGAGCAGTCTGCAGGGCAGGGGGTGGAATCTCTTTCCGCCTGAGGGCCATATTCATTTTTTGGAAAAGGTTTTAGGGGCTCATACTACTGGTGAGCTGCAAAGAGATCAAGCCGTCAATCTTAAAGGAAATCAACCCTGACTGCTCTTTAGAAGGCCAGATGCTGAAGATGAAGCTCAAATACTTTGGCCACCTAAGAGAAGGAAGGACTCCCTGGAGAAGAGCCTGGTGCTGGGAACGACTGACGGCGAAAGAAGAAAGGGACGGCAGAGGATGAGGAGGCTGGATGGGGTCACTGGGGCAGTGGGTGTGGCTTGGGTGGGCTCCGGGGGACAGTGGAGGATGGGAAGGCCTGGAGGAATGTTGTCCATGGGGTCATGATGGGTTGGGCACGACTTTGCGACTAAGCAAAACCCCTGGTGTGTAGGACAGAAGGGCCAGAGTGAGGAAAATGAACCCTAAGCAGGCCAGATCTTGCTTATGGGTCTGAAGTTCTGTGCCCCCGTGGGAGGACTTGGCAGAGAACAAGGTCAGAGGCAGCTCAGATGAGAGGACCTCTGGAAGCCTGTCCCCTCACAATTGGGGAGTGTGTTGCTGCTGCTGCTGCTGCTGTTTTTAAAAGAGAGAGTTAAACCAATGCCTGACCCACACATTTGCAAGCATGCACACATATTACAGAATGACAGTAAAACTCGAGGGACCGCTCTCCTGACTGAACCCGAACCTAGGAAGCCGCACACTCCTGGAGTGCTTGCTGCTCCAAGAATTGGGGTGCACATCACAAGAGCCCCCCATGAAGCTGACAGGTGGGGTAGGCAGGACAGATCAAAGGAAGCACAGAGATAAACTGCGGAATTCACCACTATGAGAAGGGGTGAAATCCATCCATTTTGATGTTTAAAGGGGGGGTGGACAGATTCATGAGGGAGGGGGCTCTCCGTGGCTACTAGCCCTGCTGGCCGTGTGCCCCCTCCTTCCCCAGAGGCGGCCTGCCTGCACACCCCGGTTGCTGCGGAGCCGGGCAGGAGGAGGCCTCGCACCCGTCCCGCAGGAGGGATCCTGTGGGCACTGAGTACCAAGAGCTGGACGAGGTGCATCCTTGCTCTGATCCTGCAGGGCTTTTGAATGTTCGGTTGGAAAAGCCACAGAGAAGGGCAGAGGGCTGGTGCGGCTCCCCTGTGAGGAGCAGCCGCAGAAACTGGGGCCGTTCAGCTTAGAAAAAAGGCTGGGGGGGGCATGAGAGAGGCAATCAAAATAATGCAGAGAGAGGCAAAAGTGGAGGGGGGGGCATTACACTCGATCCAGGATCATCCCATGAAACAGGTTGGTGGGAGCTTTAGGACAGATCAAAGGAAGTCCTTCGCGCAACATATGAAACTAGGGAATCTGCTGGCAGGGGGAGAGGCGGTGCCACCAATCCGGGTGGCTTTAACACGGACTGGACAGATCCGTGAGGAGGGAGGGGGCTACCAGAGGCTACCAGCCTTATGGGCTATGTGCTCCCTCCTTCCCCAGAGGCGGCCTGCCTGCACACGCCAGCTGCTGAGGGGCTTGGGCGGGGGAGGACTCGCACCCATCCTGCTGGAGGGATCCTGCGGGCAGTTTGCTTGCCACCATGCGCACTGAGCGCTGGACGGCATGGACCTTTGGAGTGGGCCGTCCTGGCGCTCTGTGCGTTCGTATGATGCTGGCTTCTGAGACATGACACTAACTGCGGGCTGTCCTGATCTGCAGGGCGGCCTGCTCTCCATTTCTACCTGGTGGGACTCAAGAAGCTCCGGCCTGCACAAGTTGGGGTTACTCCCGCCCTGCCCTGCCCTCACAACAGCCCTGTGAGGGGGCTGAGACTCTGTGACTGACCCACAACGCCCAAGAAGCAGGCTTGACCCATCTCAGTTTCCTCTCCTTTTCACCACCCTTACTAAAATGAGGCACAAGATCAAGCCTGGAACCACCCCAGGATCCAAGCCAAGACCTCGTGCTTTTGTATCCCGGCTGGCAAGGCACAAACAGAATCCCGAGCTCCCCGTTTCATACTGAGCTGCAGCTAAATTAGCCTGTCCAGACAATTTTATGCCCCACTGGAGTGGCTGACCTTCGAGGTCATATGCCAAGGACCGCTCCTAGAACATTCCTTCCCAACTCCACAAGCTGTTCAAAATCCTGGCACTGCAGCCTGCCTTCCTTAGCTTTATAAACTGACTGAGTTCCCAGAGATGCAAACCAAAAGAAAAAGGAAAAAGAACCTGATTTGAGACAGTTCACTGGTTTTAAAATCGAGTATTCCCATGTGGCATCGGGTTGAGG